GTTTACATTACTATGTGGGGAGATAATACATGAAATTCCCAAGAACTTTAATATTATTAATGCAGTTAGGAATCTACATAGACAGAAGACATGGGTGTGAGTCAATTACATTGGTATTATCTCAAAAAAAGAATGGAAGGGAGAGAAAGAGAACACACAGGGGAAAAAGGGGAAGAGAGAGGAAGAATGGGGAAATTATCTCACATAAAAGAGGCATATAAGGAAGAGTTTTTACAGTGGCAGGCAAAGTGGGAATAGGGAGCAGGCAATGCTTGAATCTCACTCTCATCTAAATTGGTTCAAAAAGAGAATAATATATAAACACTCATGTACTTCAGCATAGAAATTCATCCTACCCTAAAAAAGGAAGTGGGAGGGGAAGGGACTAAGAGAAACGACGTGTTAAGAGAGAGGATAAATCAAGGGAGGCCATGACCAAAAGCTAAACAGAATTCTGAGGCAAGAACAGGATGAAAAAAAATTAAACTAGAAGAGAATGGACAGAAATACAAGTTAGCAATCATAACTGTGAAGGTAAATGAGATAGACTCACCCATAAAATGAAGCAGTTAGCAGAATGTATTAATAACCAGAATGCAACAATGCACTATTTACAAGAGACCCACTTGAAACAGGAAGATACATGAAGAGTTAAAATAAGAAGGTGGAGCAGGATCTATTATACTTAAGCTGAAGTAAAAAAAAAGGCAGAGGTAGAAATCAGGTTCACAAAGTAAAAGAAATAATAGGTCTAATTAGAAGAGATAATCAGGACAAATACATTTTATCAAAAGGTGCTATAGATAATGAAGTAATATTAATTAATCCTACTTCTTGAAGGAAAAGTTAAATGATTTATAAGAGTCACACAGCTAGGAAGTATTATGTGTCTGAGGACGGATTTGAACTCAGGTCCTCCTGACTCCAGGGCCGGCGCTTTATCTACTGTGCCACCTAGCTGCCCCACAAATATGGTTTTATACCTAAGCCAGAGAGAGCAAAAATAGAGAAATAATACTATAGGCCAATCTCCCTAATGAATAGTAATGAAAAAATTTTAAATAAGATAATAGGAAGGAGATTATCGTAATCTATCACAAAGATCATACCTTATGACCAGGTGGGATTTATACCAGAAATGCATGGTTGGTTCAATATTAGGAAAACTATTAATGTAATCATATGTTTTGTTGTTGTATATGTTCTGATATGATGCAGAAAAAATTTTTGACAAAATTTAATAGCCATTCCTATTAAAACATTAGAAAGCATAAGAATAAATGGAGCTTTTCTTAAAATGATAAGTAGCATTGCTCTAAAACCAAGAGCAAACATTATCTGCATTGGGGATAAATTAGGAGCATTTCCAACAAGATTAGGGTCAAAGCAGGAATGCCCATTATCACCACTACTTTTCAATATTGTACTAGAATTGCTAGCCATAGCAATAAGAGAAGAAAAAGAAATTGGAGGAATTTCTCATAGGCAATGAGAAAACAAAACTCTCACTTTTTGTAGATGATATGATGGCATACTTACAGAAACTTAGAGTCAGCTAAAAGGCTATTCAAAATAACTAACAATTTTAACAAAGTTGCAAGATATAGAATAAACCCACACAAATCATCAGCATTTCTATATGTTACCAATAAAACCCAGCAGCAAGAGATAGAAAGAGAGATTACATGTAAAATAACTGCAGACAATATAAAATACTTGGGAGACTACCTGCTAAACAAACCCAGGAACTACATGAACACAATTATAAAACACTTTTCACGTGAACAGAGACAAATGTAAACAATATTAATTGCTTATGGGTAGGCCAATCCAGTACAATAAAAATAACAACACTACCTAAATTAATTTACTTATTCAATACCATACCAATCAGACTATCAAAGAATTAATTTGTAGAGCTGAAAAGAAAATAATAAAATTCATCTGGAAAAACAAAAAGTCAAGAAGAAACAATGGGGAAGATATCAAGGTTCTTGAGATAACACAAATTAGGATTGGTTGAAGAAACTGGAAAATGTTTCAACTGAAGAGAAGATGGGGGGAGAAGAGACCTAATAGTTTGCCTTCAAGTATCTGAAGGACTATCAAGTGGAAAAGGGAATGCTTTATTTTGTGTAGCTTCAAAGGGAAGAAACAGCAAGAACAGGTGGATGGTGTGAGAAAAAGAATGTAGATCTGATGTTAGAAAAAAACTTCCTAATAATCTGGTCTATCTAAAAAAAAGGAATGGACATGGCCTTGGGAGACAGTGGGTTCTCCCCTCACTGGAGGTCCTCAAGCAAGAGCTGAATGACAATTTACAGGGTATACTACAGCAGAGATTCTTGTTCAGGTAATTTGAATGAGGTGGCCCCAATAGGTCTTTTCTAGTTCCTGGATTCGATTAACTATGCCTGGGATTCTGTGATCACATTGGGCAAATTGTGCAATGCTTTCAATGATTCCAAATTGCTCCCTGCTGGATGACCTATCTGTTTAACAGGCAGCTAGCCTGTTGTTATCCCCTGTTGTATCCACTGTTGTTGGCACAGTGGATAGAGTGCAGAGCCTGGTGTCAGAAAGACCTGAGTTCTAATTTTGATGCAGACACAACCTCTGCTTGCTTCAATTCCCTTATCTATAAAATGGGTGCTAATAATAGCAAATGTTGTAAGGATCAAATGAGATATTATTTGCAAAGCATTTAGCACATAGTAAATGATAGATAAAGGTTCATTATTATTTTTATTATTATTTTGTCATGCAGGCATTTGTACACCAGCAATCATCAAAACCTCACAGGTGCTTAATAAATGCTTATTCCCCTCCCGTCAACAGCCTTCTTCTCTTGGTGATTCTATATGGCTGCATGGAAGACCATCATCTCGAAAAAATACAAATTTTCTGAGTAACCCAAAGCCAATGGAAGGACACATTGTGATAAACTTCAGTTTTGTCCAAAATGGCTGAAGGGGGAGAAGTAGCAAGAGGAATGTCCTGATGATGTATTACAAGAAAAGCAGATGAAGTAGACATGGAACATGACCAAAGGTTAACCAAAGCTTAACATACAGACAGCCCAAGTACTACTTTCATATTCATGAAACAGAAGAAGAACCAAAGGAAGGGTTCTGGCTCATTGGTTAGCTCCTCTATTAAGTATTTATGTTAAGATATGGATTGCCCAGGCTGTGAGAGTGTGATTTGTTGGTCATTATGGAACTGGGAATAGAAACAGTCTCTGCCCTCAGGGAATTTATAGTCTAATAGGGAGAAAAGATATGTACCTAAATAATTAAAATAAAAGTGCATTTGGCAGATCAAACAGGTACAGCTAGTTAGGTGGGGCAGTGGACAGAGTGCCAGACCTGGAGTCAGGAAGACCTGAGTTGCAATCTGGCCTCAGATACTTATTAGCTGTGTGACCCTGGACAAGTCACTTAACCTTTGTTTACCTCAGTTTCCTCATCTATAAAACAGATAATAAGAGGACCTACTTTTTAGGATTTCTGCGAGGATCAAATGAGATGATATTTGTGCTTAGCACAATACTTGGCACATAGTAAGTGCTATGTAAATGTTGGCTAATTATTGTTATTATTATTATTTTGTCATGGAGGCATTTGTACACCAGCATTCATCAAACATATATTAATCTATTTCTATGAGCCAGTCACTGGGGATAAAAAGAAAAGCAAAAATAGTCCCTGTCCTCAAGAAAGGCATCCTAATGGTAGAGAAAACATGTAAACCACTATGTACCTACAAGATATGGACGAGGTAGATGAATCATACAATAATTTTGAAAGGAAGGCTCTAGTCATCCTTGCACTGCAGACATGCTAATGTCTGCTAAATGATTTTAATTATTATACACATATTACTGGAATGGTGTTTGTCCTTCATTCTTGAAGAGGACCGATAGAATTATGAAGATGATGTCTTGACTACAGAGTGAATGTGAATTGGATTTTAGTGAGGTAGAGCTGCACAGGGCAAATTTATTGACTATTAGGAGTCCTTTGCCCATTGTTAGTTTGAAATATAGCACAAGCAGATTCTTTGAGGTGCAATGGTATACCTCTGACCTCCTCTATTCAGTCATCATGTTCTAATCTGTATTACCATTTATCTACATGCCTTTTCTCATAAAAGACTGTAAATTATTTGAGAGTAGGACTGTGCCATTTTTCATCTTTGTTTTTCCAATACTAGTACATAGAAGGTGATTAATATCAGGTGAATTAAATTCAAACATAAAATGATACTAATTCCAGAATCTGCTGATTCAGGCAGGTGCTTGATAAATGTTCACTGAAAAAAAATGAATGTATTAGCTAAGCAAATTAGTTTCATAAACAATATTATAAAGAAAATATTTAAATTCTATAAAAGAACAGTCTCAAGGAGTTTTAAAAGTACTTATGTATGCATAATTGGTATAATAAAGTCATTTTTAGCTATTGCACTAGGCAAAATTTTTTAAAGTCTCATAGGAAGTCTTTTTATTTAACTGAAAATAATAAAACTGTATTTCTTTAAGAATATTCTCCAAGTGGAACTTTTCACTAAATCAGATAGTTCTCCCAATTCACCCAAATAAATGAGGTTTTATTATATATAAATATGGAACCTAACAGGCAGAGTTGTGAAATTTTGAGGGATTTACTCTTTTCAGTCAGATAATTCACATGTATTTACTGATTTTATTTTACTAGGAAAGAAAATATATACAGTAAACAATTTTTTAAGTTGAGGCAAAAGAAGTATATACCAAAATATTTATTTTTTTGTGATATATACACACGTACATTCTATATATACACATATATACTATCTATCCATTTATAACTGGAATGACATATTATTTTATATAGATATACATACACACGTTTATGTATACATACATGTGTATATATACATGTATATACATATGTACATGCATGTATGTACATATATATACACACATATATGAAATTTTCAGCATCAAAATTCCTTACCTTGAATGTGCAGGGCCTCTGTCTAGGGATGCTTGTGAGGATACACTTCCATCAAAGGAATTTCCCCGATGGCAGCCAGAAATGGTGGCCCTGGGCAAAATGGAATCTGGCTGGAATGATTCACCCACTACCTGCAGACCCTTGGGGGTTGGAGAAACCAATAGGAATTAATTGTTTCCATATTTATCTTCTAGTATTATCTAATATTTAACATACATGGAATCTTTATATTTGTTAAGTATTTTCTTAATTGATCATCACAGTACATGTACAAATTTAGAACATCCAGTTCTTCAGATTCCCCATCTGTTGCATATTACAAGCTAGGCTGGATATTCAGCCACTAATCATGCTTGTCCAGGGGTTTTCTTTTCCTTTTTAAAAAATTAATTTCAGTTTGTTGCTTTTTAAACAAAAATCCTTTCAAAATAAATTCTTTTGGCTATCTCATTTTATACAATTTTTAAAGCAATTATACAATTTTAAATAAATTTTCCCCCTGTATCCCTCACCTTCCTCCTCCTAGATAACTATCCTTCATAAGGCAAGATTAATTAAAAGAAATAAGAAAAAGAGGTAGAGAAAAATCAGCAAATCTAATCAATACATTAAAAAAAAATTCTGGCATAAATGCAATGTCCAAAGGTCTTCTGTTGGAATTTTTCCAAGTATGTGCCAAGATGATACAGTACTTGGAAGATAAGAGCAATCCCCAAACAATTAATCAAACAACGATCAGGTGAATTATATAAAGAGAAGACGCTGAAAATAGACATGGGATGCATTAGAGCAATACTTACTAAAGCAGGAGCTGCACATTAACTTTGAAAGACAAGGTTCTCTGTTGAGTCATTCATCAAAGGTAAGATCCAATCCATCTTTCTGGTTGGATATTTAACCTTTACCATCATGGTTAATTGCACATTCATCAGTCTCCTCACAGATAAGATTATTTCAACAACATAAGATTTCAATCTCATGGGCTTTGGTGATAAGAGTCACTGACAATAATGATTACTGACTCTAGTTCATTGGTATTCAAACTGGTTCCTTCTGGATAATATCCTTCTGGGCAATATTTTCCTTTGGTAGGAGAGCTTTGAATTTTGGCCATGACATCCCTGGGATTTTCTTTTGAATTTCTTTCAGAAGGTGAGTAGTGGATTTTTTTTCTAAATTCATTTTACCTTCTTCTAAATAATTTAGACAGTTTTCATTTCTGATTTATTATAATATAGTGTCCAGGTCTTTTTTTAAATCATGGCTTTCATGGAGTCTAATAATTCATAAACTATCTCTCTTTAGCCTGTTTTCTAAGTCTGATGTTTTGATATAAGACAGCTTACATTTTCTTCTATTATTTCAATCTTTGGATTTCATTTTAATATTTCTTGCTATTGCATAGAGTCATTCTTGTTTGATCTGTTCTCAATTTCAAGGATTCTACTTCTTGGGTAAGATTTACCAGTTCCTTTTCTAAGCTATTTATTCTCTTTCCAATTCTTTCCTCCAGAGATTTCTACTTCATTTTAAAAAAAATTCCTTCCTTCATTTCTCCTAGATATTCTTAGTCCTTCTGGAAAATGCATCTTAACCAGTGTGCTGGTACATATTTAACCAGCTTTCCACCCCCCCATGTTCATATAACCCATTTTTAAGTTTACTCTGCATTATATTAACCTCTCCATCTCTTTCTTAAATGTAGAGAGTCAACAAAACAATAAAGCAATCTGATTTATATAGCATTTGCAAATTTCTGTATTCTTTTTTTTTTGTTAGGCAATTGGGGTTAAGTGACTTGCCTAGGGTGACACAGCTAGTGTCACGTATTTGGTCTGAGGCTGGATTTGAACTCTGGTCCTCCTGACTTCAGGGCCAGTGCTCTATCCACTGCACCACCTAGCTGCCCTGCATTTGCCAATTTCCCATGTGCAAATGCTCACACTGAACATTTGACGATCTGCTTTTACAAACCAGTTTGAGTTGGCTCCAGCATAGCCTTGCCTTTGAGTATATCTGCAGTTGTTACAGAGTTGCTCCATATTTGGGTGATCTCTATTTTTGTATTGATTGGTATGTTCTTTGATGTGTTCTCATCTCTCCTCAATTGGAGCTTTGTGCCAGAAACTGGCTCTGCTCCCTGCTGTGCTCTTGGTGGTCAGCCCTACTTCATGTTCCTGGGTTGCTTGGGTTCCTGCACAGACCATCACTTCTTGGGTTGCCCCTCTCCCCTAGATATTTGAGGGTTAGAATGCTAGATATTCAGGGTCCTCTTCAATATCTCAGGAGAGTGGTAGGGACCTCAGATACCCTGTGCCTGGGCTGTCCTTATCTGAGGGCTAACACCGACTGCTATCCAACGCCACTGTTTGAGAAGTCTAAGGGCCCCAGATAGGAACTTTCTCAGGTTAGCCTAGTTCTTCTGCTGTCTCCAGACACAAAGCCTTGCAGGCTACATATGGGGGCTGGTTTGGTGGGGACCCTCCCTCCTTTTGCCCTTTGGCTTCTGGCTAATTTTTGTCCAGTTCAGAGATGAAAGAAATCCCCTACTATACTTTATCATTAGATTTTTAAAAAAATCATTATTTGATCTGGTGTGAACTTCAGGACTTTTTTGGACTCAGAATGTGGAAGCCAGTTCAGGTAGCCTTCTTGGCCAGAAATCCTCCTTGAATAGCTTTCAAGGCCTTCTATAACTTTGCCCCATTATACCTAATCTAATCAGAGTCGTCACAATTCCCCAGTTCATACCTTCCATCCTACTAAGGCTGTCTTTACTGTCCTTGGATACTTTTTTCCCCTTTGTCTAAAGTGTTCTTCTATTTCTATTCCATTTACAGAAAATCTCCTCATTCTTCAAGGCCCAACTCACTTCTTATTCCCTCCATGATACCTTCCTAAAATATATCAATAACATATTGTTTTCCTTATCTAAATAGAAATTCAGACTTAACATTTGATTACCTATTGACTATAGCTAGTACATGTTGGTTAGATCTTGAGTCCCCAAGAAGACTATAAACTATGGGAAGATAGATAAGACCACCTATACTATTTTTCTGCATCCCTTCATAGTATCTAGTACAATGTACAATGTATATAGTATGTACTTAAAATTGGTTGAGTGAGTAGATAAAGAAGATAATGAAGCATTTTAAGAGGAAAACTTCTAGGGATATGCAAGGTATTACTTTTATAATCATCATTATTACTTCAATAATTCACAATTCAATTCACATCATTATTACTTCAAAATTCAAGAAAATACAATGTCTTTAGTGTAAATATTTCCTCTGCCAAAGGCTCTGGAATCAGGAAACTTGGATTCAGATCTTGCTTCTGACATTTACTACCTATATAAATTGGGATGAGTTACTTAAGCTTCTCGATCTCAGTTTCTTCCTCTGTAGAATAAAGAGAACTGACACGATAACCTTTGAGGTCATAGGATCAGAGATTTAGAGGTGGAAAGAAACTTAGAGGCCATCAAATCCAAGACCCTCATTTTAAAGACTAAGAAACTGAGGTACAGAGAATTTAAGTGACAGTATTTGAGACAGGATTTGTACCCAGGTCTTCTAACCATTACACCACCATTCCTCTCAAAATTATGCCAAAATTTGGGAATGAACCAGGGAGCTTTAAGTTCTTTTTCAGTTCTAGATCTATGATCTTATGATAATTTCTTCCCCTAGAAAGTGATCTTCATGAGTTTCTATGGATCAAAAATTAATCACCTACAGATGAAGAGATAATAAGCTTTCTAAGCTTGAGTAGGCTAGGTCTTGGATGACAGGCATCTGTGCTATTGCTAAGCTTGTACCTGAAGCCTTTCTAACTTGGTTAGGACTTCCCCATTTGTGTCCTGCGGGCATAGCCTTTAAGGAACCGGGGTCATTTTGATGCTAGGAAGGGGCATCAGAGAGGGATTTGGTGGAAAATCATCAAAATTGTAATAATCAACTTACCTCTGAGTGTCCTGTGCCCTGATTTGGTGACTCACAGGGCTGACTCTGATTGTTGATTGGAGAACTTCTCTTGGCTACAAGGATGAAAAGAATTCCACAGAGGGGTTGAAGTGGGGATTTAGATAGCTTTTATGTCATTTCATTTCAACAGCAAAACAAAGGAATATAATATATTATGTAAAAATGTTTCTGAAGAAATAACAAAGATCTTTTCCTGAACACATGGTCTGAGGTCATCCAAATGTCCGGTTTTAAAATTTATTTCAGAATTTCCACTAAGTTTGCTACTTTAGAACTTTGTTTTACCAGTGATTCAGCAGCTTAATTTTCTAACAAGAAGAGACTATTACTAGTAAAAAGTTCACTCCCATTTGAGATAAGCCTCAGTATAACCCTCATCTGAGGATACTGGGTAACTTGAGTGCCTTGCAAATAACAGGTACTTGTCAGATTGAATTGAATAGTGAATAATCAGGGAGGGCAAACACAAAGAGAGATGCTAGCTTTCCAAAGTTATCAAACAAGACAAAACAATGTATGACCACTATTGGTCAAAATTTACCATTATTTCTTCCTGTAAACACATTTGCTAAGCTTTGTGTCACTACTACATGGGCTTAATAAATATTTATGGATTGATAGATTCTGTGTAAGATTGCAAAAGTCATCTATTAGAAAAAACAGCCTCTTTAATGGCCTCTTCATTAAGAGAAAATCATGCTGCCATCTTCATGCTTACATGAGAAAGAAGCAAAAAAAGTAAAGATTCCTAAGAGAATTTTTTTCACTCTGCCTCATTGGGACTCTAAACCACTTACCTGTGATGATGTTCCGGATAGGTTTCACCAGAGCTGTAAAGGCAGAGACCTCAGGCTGTCTGTGCTCCCACATTGGCTGCCAAATAACAAGACCACTGGCCAATCGGAAAGTCAGGTCAGATTCCTGGTGGAAAAGAAAAGCAAGATACTTCAACTAGATCTTAAGTGTACAAAGCGCTACTCATATCAGGGATGAATTAACTAATTAACTAAAATGTAGTAAAATGAGTAAGAACATGGTAGGGTAACCAGCCTAGCTGAAGCAGAAGTACCCTGCGGAAGAGACAAGAGGCAGTATATGCCAGGAAAGTAAAACATTTGTTATCACAGCATAGACCGCCATCTCTCCTCAAACCCTGATGGAGATATGGAGATATCCCCGCATCCTGAGACCAAGAGTTTTGGGAATAGCAGTGCTCCCTAAACAATCATACCTGCTTCCAGTCTGGCCTGATACATAGTAGGCACTTAATAAATGTTTATTGATTGATTGACAAATAATTGTGGGGAAGAGGCCCGTTTTCCTCGTTACCAGCAGCGTGACCAACTGCTGTCAATGGGCAGAAAGGCACAGGACTTCAGGGAGTGGCAACACCCTCCGCCTATCCCCAGATCACAGCTTCTGTTTCTCTCCCAGCTATCATCTGGTGAAACAACTCCTATTGAAAATGGGGTGGGGGGAATAGCCATCCCCACCAACTGTCAACTCACACAGGCCAGGTAATCTGGCTTAGTCAAAGCAGTAAGACACCTTGAGGGCCAGACAGGAGGCAGCATGTGTCAGGCAAGTCAAACTACCACCACCACCTTGACCACTATTTCCCCTCAAACCCTGATGGAGACAGTTCAGCAAAGAGCCTTGGGAATAGCAATGCTTCTAGCCTAGTGCCTTCAGCCGAATTCCTGGGAAGGAACCCCTGGGAAGATGCAGCTGCATAACTGCCTTACAGGTATTGTAGCCATAGGTAGTGAAAAGACGAAAAAGAAAGTTCTTGACACCAAAGTGCTTGGCACTGTCAAATGGTTCAACATCATAAACTGGCATTTTACCAGGGAACATAGCATTAGAGGATATGTTAATATTTGTTTTGCCAATGTGCCAAAGGACCATGAGACTTTCCCGTTTGATTTGTAGCTGAGAAGCTCCATTTGTCTTCTCTCCCCACTAGAATGCAAACTCCGAGGACAGGGACTGTCTTACTTTTCTGTTTGTATCCCTAGCACTTAGAACAGTGCTTTGCATACACTAAGCACTTAATACATGCTTCATTCATTTATTCATTCATGATATCAGAAGACCTAATTATTCTTATCCCCATCTAGATACACTGTTCCATGAGGCCATGGACCACATTCATTGATTTTGTTATCGCCCCTAGCCTAGGCACAGTGTTCTTATACATAGAAGGTGCTCATTAAATATTTATGAGATAATTGAATGAATTGGTGGTAGGTGGAATGTTGCCATTTTACTGTCTGTTACAGGCTAAGTGAGAATTCTAACCTGTTGCCCATATGTCCTTTACCACTTACAGTACTTGCATCAATAATATCATATGCCCTGGAAGAAATACAATCATCTTCCCCATCCTACCTGGCTTTCAGTCCATTTTCAGGAAAGCTAAAACAGGTGTATGAAATGCTAAATGCTATTAGCAATTGTTGGGTGAGAGGAAGAAGTGAAAGAAATTTATGGAAAAGCTATATTTTTACTCTCCACCTCCAGACACAGAGTTGGAGTGAAGATTGAAACATGGACATGGCTAATTTGGAAATTTGTTTTGTTTGACTATACATATTGGTAAGGGGTTTTGTTTTCTTGCCTTCTAAATAGGGAAGGGAAGGGAAAATGCCAGGGAGAGAATTAGAATTGGAAATGAAATGAAAATGAATCTTTTAAAAGTCTGTGTTTTTTGTTTCCTCATTTTTAGATTTTTTTAAAAAAGGGTGACTGATTTGTGTGTATAAGCATTTTAAAAGAAAAAATTCCAAGTGGTAAATAAGCATACCTCTTAGTTATTTTTTAAGGTTGAAGGGTGGGTAAGCAGTGGGAGGGAGGAGGACAGGCTTGCTTTAGAGATGTTGTTTGCTAAGGATTATTTTGTGATGTCAGACAAGCTGACAGACCAAAAGCCTTTGGATTTTGTGTCTGGGGAATTTTTCATTACTCACTGTCAAGTTTTTTTGTTGTTGTTTATATTTCTGTTTTTTAAGAAAAGAAAGTAGGGAGAGAATTCAGCACTTAAAATTTTAAAAAATAAATGTCAAAAATAAAGAAAGAAATGTATTTAAAAAGAAAAAGAAAGTAGAGGTTTTTATTTTATAATCCTGAAAGATAGAGGCAGAAATGTGAAGACTTAATAAATGTCTTCTCTTAAAAAACAAAACAAAACCCCAAACAAAACCTTGCCTTAAATCTCTTCCTCAAAGTCTTTCCAGCTCATCCTCACCAGCTACTGTTATTCATACCCCAGATACCATAGTTTGCCCTCATTCTCTCTCACTTGGATGACTACAAATAATCTCTTAATTGGCGTCCCTGTCCACTGTGCATCTCTCCGATCCATCTTCCACACAGCTGCCACAATGAGTCCTAAAGCTTGGGTTTGGCCATGTGCCTTCTCTGCTCAAGGAGCTTTTCTGATTGATGACACATTACTGTCCCTCACACACTCGATGCTCCAGCCAAAGTTGACTGTCCTATTTCTTGCACACAGCATTCCATCTTTTGTCACTGTGTCATTGCTCAGCTGCCCTTCATGCCTAGAATGCTCATCTTTCTTGGTGCCACTTCTTGCAACCCCTATCTCTTCTCAAGGCTCAGCTCAAGTACTTCTTCCTTCCAGGGGCCTTTCTGTATTCTCTTCATCATCCATCTCCCTGCCTCTGATCATTATGTATTTAAGTCGATATCTCACATTTATTGTTATATCCCCCTTTCTCTAATAAAATGTAAACTTTTATGGAACAAGAACAGTTTCATTTTTATACTTGTATATCCAGAAGTTATAATAGGGCCTAATCAATCCACTTTTACCTAGATTACTGCCAGAGCCTCCTACTTGGTCTCCCTGACTCCAATCTCTTTCATTATATCTCCATACACCAGTCAAATTGATATTACTAAAGCACAGGTCTGACCTGGTCATAACCTGCTCAGTTACCCTCTGAGCTGTTGATGAGGAACCCCAAACCATTTTGCCTGCTTCAGGGACTATTGATGGAAAAATGGAGTCTGTGGAAAGGCAGGAATAGGAATGATCAGTTGTTGTTTTTCTGTCCTTTGTTTTCAAAGAGGACCAAAGACATATCAGAGTGATGTCTTAACTCATGCATGGACTGGATTTAAGTGAGGTAGTCTCTCTTCCAGAGCCATCAAAGGCCAGTGGCAAGACAGACGTCAAGATGACTGATGATGGCTTAGTATACAGTAGATAGCCTTGGCATCTTTGATGTCTGATCAAGCTCTAAGCACTCCACAGTGCCCACTTCAGGCACCTTCATAGTTGTTTAAACAAATTGTTCTCATCTGTCCATTCTGTTAGGGGAAGTCTTCACATGCTTGGGGTAGATTCCCCCCTAACTCACTGACAGGTTTGTGGCCTATCAGTTACCCTCAGCCTGGTTTACCCTGTCTGATGAGATAGTTTACTGGTGTGCAGCCATTGCACATGGCACAGTTTCTTGGAGTCACAGGTGAGAGTTGAGTGTCAGGTAGACAGCAAAGGTGGTTAAGCAGCCCTGAGAAGGGCTCAGCAAGCCCTCACACCAGAGGTGCTAGTCTTCCTTGAATCCCCTATACACCCCAAATGGTTAGGAGGGGTCAGAAAAAGGCCACAAAGCCTTAGGGTGTAATTACATTGTGTTCCATCTTGGGCTCATATTTTCAGTATTTGTGGCATAGGGTCCATTGTTGTAGATAATACACCACTTCAATAGGAGATAATGAAAATACCTTTCCACAGTTTTCAGATGAAGAAATCAAAGCCATATGAAGAAATGCTTTGAATCACTATTGATTAGAGAAATGCAAATTAAAACAACTCTGAGGTACCACCTCACACCTGTCAGATTGGCTAATATGACAGAAAAGGAAAATGATAAATGTTGGAGACGATGTGGGAAAACTGGGACACTAATGCACTGTTGGTGGAGTTGTGAAATGATTCAACCATTCTGGAGAGTAATTTGGAACTATGTCCAAAGGGCAATCAAACTGTGCATACTCCTGATCCAGCAATACCACTACTAGGTCTGTAACCCAAAGAGATCACAAAAAAAAAAAAGGAAAAGGACCTACATTTTAAAAAATATTTATAGCAGCTCTTTCTGTGGTGGCAAAGAATTAGAATTAAAGGGATGCCCATCAATTGGGGAATGGCTGAACAAGTTGTGGTATATGGTTGTAATGGAATATTATTGTGCTGTAAGAAATGATGAGCATATGGATTTCAGAAAAACCTGGGAAGACTTACATGAAGTGATGCTGAGTGAAGTGAGAAGAACCAGGAGAACACTGTACACAGTAACAGCAACATTGCGTGATGATCAACTATGAATGACTTAGTTCTTTTCAGCAATACAAAGATTTAAGAATTCCAAAGGACTCATGATGGAAAATGCTATCCACATCCAGAGAAAGAACTGATGGAGTCTGAATGCAGATTGAAGCATACCATTTTTACTTTCTTTCTTTTTCCTCAAGGTTCTTTTTCTCTTGCCCCTGTTTCTTCTTTCACAACACAATTAATATGGAAATGTTTTACATGATTGAACAGATATAACCTATATCAAATTGCTTACCATCTTAGGGAAAAGGTGGGCAAGGGTGGGAGGGAGGTCATTTGGAACTCTAAAATTTTTAAAAATGAATGTTAAAAATTGTCTTTACATGTAATTGGAAAAAATACTATTAAGAAACTTTAAATGATACAAAAAATGCTTTTTCTCCAAATTGGGCTGGAATGGATAGGGCCAAAATAAACCCTCCTGATCCTGTGCCAAAGGATGTGAGAAGCCTTTAATGCCGAAAATTAGCTTTAAGGATGAAAAAAGATTGCAATTATACTAATTTAAAGTTTGCAAAGGTCTTTAAAGATATTAACTAGTTTGATCTGATCTTCACAACAGCCACCATCCTCTGAAGAAGGTCTTATTATTATCTCCATTTTATAGGGATAAAAAAAAAACCCAAGGAAGTTAAAGATTTGCCTAAGGTCACATAACTATTTAGTGTCTCTGCAGAATTTGACCTCCAGTCTTCCTAACTCCAAGGTTTATCAACCATATAATGAAACTTGACTTTTATGCATGAGGAATTTTCACCTAAAAGAAAGGAAGGGCTGAGGTTGCTTTTCAGTAGTGTTCAGTCCCATGGGGAAAGAGTAGTACAGAGCAATGAGAGCAATGAATTGGGTGAAAATGCACACATAAAGTCAAAAGGTCTGTGGATGGGCCTTGTGTAATATGGACTTATGCAGACTCGGAACAAGAGATTTAAATGGAGAAAAAAAACCAGATGTATTGACTGCTTTCTGCTAATCACAATGAAGGACTTAGTTTTTATCACCCTCTGAATTTCTAAAATCCTCTTCCTTACCTCCACATAATAAAGTGACTGTAAGTGCTCGGATAGCTCTATATAACACTATCAATTTCTCCACCAACCCTTATTTACAACTCTGTTTTCTTTTGAGGGTTGTCAATCCTACTTTCCCTAATCAGGTATTTGATTTGTATCTACATACAATTAAGTTCTTTAATATCAGAAGTTGTCTCTAACAACAGATAGTGTCCTTGGCTTACAGTGTGAATTGTCCAGGATCAAATAGCTAGTATGTGTCAGAGGTAGGACTTGAACCAAAGTCTCTCTTAATCTGAAGCCAATGCCTTGATGTCTTTTACGTTTTTCTCTTAAGATGATAAAATTACTTACCACTGGGGCAGTTAGGTGGCACAATGGATAGAGTGCCAGTCTTGGAGTCAGGAGGACCTGAGTTCAAATATAGCCTTAGACACTAGCCATGCGACCCTGGCAAGTCACTTACCCTTGTTTGCCTCAGTTTCCTCATCTGTAAAATGAGCTGAAGAAGGAAATGGCAAACTACTCCAAGATCTTTGCCAAAAGGGTCACAAAGATTTGGATATGACTGAAAAATGACTAAACAACAACACTTTATCATTGATACCACCAGTAGCCATTTAAATTACATATCTATCTATTAATTTGAAGTACAGGTGTGAATATATATTTTATTTTCCTGTCAAATCTTTGGGGGTCATTATTAGGCTCAGAATTTGTGGGGTATGTTTTGTTTTAGTTTTTTTATATTAATTTTTAGCATAACTATAGCTTTTACATGACCCCTAGGGCTTACATTATCCAGATAATTGAGGACTTTCAAGCACACAGATTAGATTAAAACTAGCTTGAGAGACAGCTCCTTATTCATTCCCTCACTCAAAATGACCAAATATTAGTGCCAGAAATGGCCTTTTATCATACAATGCTACATTGGCAAGGAGCCTTAGAACATATAATGTTAGACTATAGGACATGTACTACATAAGATCATTATAAGTATAGGCTTCTCATTCTGCAGAAAAATTTCCAAGTCCTCTTATCTACTAATACCTCCCTTGTGAGCCTATCAAAGAGTTGGTTTCTACCACTAGCAATCTATTCCTTTAGTCTAAACATCACCTTCTCTCTGGGGCCTGTTTACAGAATCTCACAGACTTTGAGAGTTGGAGGGCACATAAGCAGCCATCTAGTCCAACACATAAACAAAAGCAATCATGTTGATTACTCCTGACAAGTAGCTGTCCAAACTCCATTCTATAAGGATGGGGGAAACTGACCACCTTCAGGCAGTCCATTCCATTTTTTTCACCAGTTCTCATAGTTTATAATTTTTTTTCAGCAATCCAATAGCACTTGAATTTAAAAGACATTTTCTGCCTATGCATTGATCTGCAAAATGATTATACCAAGACTTGGTCTTGCTTAAGTGGAAAGATGAGTTAAAGTGGCTTTTCCTCCCTCTAGACATTCCCTTACCTTGATCCGGTGAACCAGAGGAGCAAACAGGAACACAAAGAGTTCTACTGTGGCCATGGAGTTCTGGAAGAATTTCCTACGACTATTCTCTTCTTCTTCATGGGAGCTGCTTCGCCGAGGGTGCACTGGTGATCCCTGGTTTTCAACTTGATGGATGAAGGCACTGCTGCCACCACCCCAGCTGGAGCCTCTGTCACCTCCCCCAAATCGATCACTGTTGCAATCCTGGGGGGCCTCAAGCAGCATCCAGTGCAGGGTGTGAAGGAGCTTGGTTTCTGCAACACCTAGTTTATCCTGATGACCTGGATGAAAAATATTAGCCAGTGACATCTTTTGATAAAGAGTAAAGATTTTGTGAACTAAGCAATCGGTTTAAATGTAGCGGCTGTGAGAATTCTTCTACTAGTTTACCAGGTGATGGAAGATGCACTCCATGTTATAGCTTCCCCTCCTTTCTATGCGTAATAATGATAAAAGTCAAGTGGATGCAATGCAACAACTTGTTAAGGACTTATTGGTTTTAAATGTAAAAGCTACCAAAAGCTATGGTTAACAATAATCTCATAAAGCAATGGTTCTTAGTCCAAGGTTCATGAACTTGTTTTTTTTTTAATACTTGGATAACTATAATTCAATATAATTCATTTTTTTTTGGTAATCACATGTATTTTATTTTATGCATTTAAAAGCATTATTCTGAGAAGAGATCCATAGGGGATGCCAAAGTAGTCCATGACACAAAAAGGTTAAAAATCCCTACCTTAAAAGGTTTTCTTTTCATTTAAATTCATGTAGATAGTAGAAACATATCACAAACCTTTTTTAGTAAAATTGAAAATGTTAATAAATAATATTTTTTCTAAAACTCTTTCAAAAACCTTGGAAAAGGCCCTTGAAAAACAAGCCTTTTCTTAGGGAAATGGATTAAGGATGGTACCAAACTTTTTAACAAAAAATAATTCTAGTCTGGTTGATATCATTTCCTCCCCCCACCCCTGAAGCAGTCTAGATACTGACTCATTTAAGTTCAGTCTCCTTTACTAGTTCACTAGAAATGATTAGTGAGCTAACACTAACACAGCCCCATAGGGAAAGAATTAAGGTTTCAATGTAAGAGAGGAGGTCTCTTTGTGTAACCCCAGGGGTAAGGGAGGTGGTCTGGAAGGAATGGGGTAGTGGTTTAGTTACTAGATAATTCTATAATCTTAACTTGGACTGCATTTTAACATATCTTTTCTTTCTTCAAGATTTCTATAAATGTTTTATCAAATCTTTTTTGGGGCAGAGAGTCTTCTTAAAGGATTGAAGTGTGGTGGGAAAGGATATGTTAGTTTGGACTCTCTCTCTCTCTCTCTCTCTCTCTCTCTCTCTCTCTCCCTCTCTCCTCCATCCCAGATACAAATGGCTTGGGGAAAGACTAATATCAATGAAATAAAATTGTTTCTGACATACTTGAGCCTAAATTGTAGGGTACAGTATTAATATTAGTATATTTTCTTTCACAAGATGTAAAAAGGGCCTCAATATTTAAATGACTACTATGGTGAAATCTTCTGTAAAATAAATAATCTCTCCATAATTTATCTGAATTAACCTTTCAATTTCAGATATGAAATCTGCTCAAAGTAGATAATAATTGTAATCTCTTTTTCAAAATTTTTTCAAGTATAAACTATGCTGCTGCTGTACCATTAAAATACAACTTCATTTTTAATTATCCACAAGAATCAGAGAGACATTGAACTTCAGAGATATCCTTTTCCATTTTAGTAATTCCATTAGTAATTTTCAAAGGTAATCTCAAATATTTCCTCAATGTCAGATAATTAGAGATTAGTTCAAAATTATTAGATTTCGGTTTTGAGTGTTTCTCCATATGGCAGTAGAACTAGTTCAGGTCAAGGATTTGCTGGTTCTGTGAACTGTCACTTGGGCAGTAGAGAGTACTACCAGATTTCCCCTACCATGTGATTTATATTGGTAGCCATTAAGCATGAAATCTTTCAGTCTTGCTACCACTTGGAATACAAATACACTGATGATTACCTGAAGGAATGCACAGAAAGGGATATATCAAGTATATTCTGCTGAGTAATTCTTTTTGCAATTGTGTCTATTAACAGGGATAACAATATATGGTTTCATGGATTGCCCTATTGTGGTTATTTTCATTAACAGATTTAAGAGGAAAAAATATAGATTAGAAGCTAACAACAAATAGAATAAATGACCTTTTTTTAAATAAAAAGGTATAGTTAACATTGATTATAGTTCATTTTAAGGAACAAGTAAAAAGAAAAAGAAACAGTATGGCATTGTGGGAGGGACTTAGACTCTAGGCAAATAAATCACTTAACCTCAGGCTACTCTCAAGACTTTAAGCTATAGATTAGTAGTGAAACAGGTTGGTAGAAAGAATTCCTGTAGTATCCAAATCACTGGGTCTGGACCTAAAAATATAATCGTGATTCAAAGTAATGTAAATACAGTGTTAATAGCAGGGCAATGACTTTAGCAGATGGACTTCTAAATCCATAGTCACTGAAGAATGAACTAAATCCAAAGGCAAGAGTACTGTGTTGGTTATAAGAACAAAAATAAATAGCTGCAGTCATTACAGAATGAGTCGTCATTAATTTTCTGGGAACCACCCCAGGAACACATTGCTTCTCATAAGTAGGTAATAATGGTATACACTAAATAGCACATGGTGGAGTACCAACCCAGTTTATTCCTGTTGGAAAGCAATGTTGCAGTGCAGTGCAGAACATGAGGCAATGCAGCCTGGACCAACTCCCATCGGGAAATACTCTGGATGGCTTCAGAAAGGGCTGGAGAGAGGCCATGGAGCTTGTTTTCGACCAGAACTCGTTCAAAGGACTATAAGATGGGGAAGAACACATAAATTATTGTACTAGACTATCTTAATGCACAATGGAGAATAGAGTCTAAGATGCCTTCTACTAATGTATTTTTATTTTTAAAAATTTTAATTTAATATTTTATTTCCCCCCTAAGTACATATAAAAACAATTTTCGATATTCATTTAAAAAATTTTTTGAGTTCCAAGTTCACTCTCTCTCCTCTTCTTCTTCCCCTCTCGCCACCCCCTATGAGAAGGCAAACAATTTGATGTAGGTTATACATGTGCAGCCATGGAAAACATTTCCATAGCAGATATTTTTAAAAGATAAAAATAACTTACATTTACATAACACTTCAAGTTTACAAAGCACATTAAATACATTATTGTGTTTCAAATTCATGACCTTATGATATAGGTAGGGCAACTATTATTATTATCTGAACCTGAGGTTCAGAGAGGGTCATATATGGTATAGTAGAAAATGCACTGGGTTTGGATTCAGAGGACCTGGATTGAATTTTACTTAGCATAGATCGGTGACTCTGAGTAAGCCAGTAAAACACTCTAAGGCGTCAGTTTCCTCATTGTCAAATGAGAAGACTGGACTACATGATCTCTAAGGTTCTTTTGAGATCTAACTCCAATGATCATCTAGGATTTTAGCTTTAGAGCTGGAAGTGACCTCAGAGACCATCTATTCTAACTCCTTCATCTTATAGATGACTTTCCAAAGGTCATATAGTTAATGTAAGAGATGAAATTCAAACCACAGGTCTTTTGACCCTAAGTTTTCTGGCTTTTTTCTACTATACCATGCTATCTATGATGAAAATTCCAAGCCAAAATTTTTTCAATGTTGTCATCTTAGTGATTACTACATCTCTGTATGTCCGCATTCAAGTTAAAACTAATCTACTAAATTCATAAGTTTTCAAATATATTTCTGTAGTTTGAATGAACTACATTATTATATGTAGATGTTCATTTCTATACATGGGAGGAAGAGGTTAGTTTGGTCTTTTTCCTTTAAATAATTTAAATGAGATAAGCTCATTCAAACATTTTTGAGTGATCCATAGGGATTGTTTGAAGTTTGCAGGAGGAACCGAATGTTGTAAGAGTTTTCTTGGTCAAAATTGGCATCAATGAATGTAGACTGCTTTTCTGCAGCTCTGATTTTAAACATGATGCCTCCTTACTGAATCTAATTCTGGAATCATCTAAACTGACTCTCAAGTATCTCTACAGTCGGAGTTGGTATTTGGTCCTGATGTAGGACACATTTGCCCCAAAATCTAAGCTGCTTTTGTAGTGCAGAATGAGAATGTATTATTTAACTCTTTCTGCTCCTTTCTGATTTTGTTGTAATGCTACAAGATATGTATGTAGGATTAAGTTGGGATTGGAGGTGGGAAGAATTGGGATAAAAAAAAAAATAAAAGGCCAAATTGGTAGCTAATGCCCTACAAAGAACCAATTCACCAATTTAGTTCACATGAGTACAAAGGATTTTCTTTTCTTTTCTTTTTTTAAAGACCTTGTAATCAAAGCTATTCTGTGATTCTGTGGTTCTGTTTTAGAAAAAAGGGAGAGATCAGAGTTTTGGCCTTTTGTTTTCTCTTAACAAGTTAAATAAAGGCCTTTACATATTGCTTATGCTGTAGATCCAAATACTTTTAAATTCTTTAGCCTTTAAGCATCTGAAGCACTAATTAACTAAAGGATAAGTGTTTTAGGAATTTAAAAGTATGAAAGATTTAAAAGCTTGACACACCTAAAATAATCTTTGAGAATACCTCCTACAAGAAAAGTTTAAACATTTAAAATGGCCTGTTTATGAATTCTGGATTGTCATGTCTTTTTCATTTTAAATTAATATTCAGCTAATGTGTTTTTTGTGTTGTGTTTACAGTCTGAAAAGTTTTTTTCATGTGTACACACATTCAACCCCTCATAGACACACCCCACTTCAGTTTGTATGTTTTACTTTTATGCATACATTTATTTTATATAAAGACATTTGTCAAATATGTATGCCTAATTGTAGAAGGATGGGCCCAGTTAAAGCACAGAGTTATTTAGGGCCATTCAAAAGTCGATGAAGAATCAATGGACTTGTAAGAGAATTCATAGTAATTAAAATGTCAAGTTACTTCTGACTTGAGCTAAGCAGAATCATAAATCAATGAACCTATGAAAAAGTAATGTATCTTTAAGAACTTTGTTTTGATAATTTTGAAAAACAAAAAAAAATACAGAAGAAATTCCAAATTGTTTACCCCAAGCAAAAGCTAATGGATATAACAGATTTAAGTTGCTCTTGCTGTTCATTGATTGGATTAGGGTCCACTGTGTCATTTACATTTTGGTGGGCCTATCTGTAAATAGACAAATTTTCATATATGTACTGGGACAACAGATGAGTAAAGATCTCACCTCTGCATCCCAATTTATAGCTATCCTGGCTTTATGTGAACTCCATTACCATTCCACTCAGTGATCTCCATTCCTCATTTTTTCAGTCTGGGATGAATAGTGCTTGACTAATTTTTTATTATGGGGACTTTGGGAGGACAATTGTGTTTATGGAAATGAAACATTATCAAATCTCTGGAAAATATGCACTCTCCCAAATGGAAAAGAGATACACAATAGTACAGCTGTTTGTTGGAGGATATACTGATATCATTTGCTAGTAGCCAAATAAGTTCACCAACTTAGTTTTCTTACGTGATCATGTTGTAGAATGTATTGGACCAAGTGGACTAGATAAAAACTTCTGTCAACAACCTGAAGACTGCCTTTTAATTATTAACATTCTTTTCTGATGCTTTGTATTTTTATATATTTTCAACTTGTCATATAAATTTGATAATTCACATATAAAAACCCACAAGTTCATATTATTTTGCTTCTTTGAGTATTTCATATATGTACCTCATATGAAACTACTGCTGAAATTAATCCTATGTTTTTCTTCTATTTATCACAGTGACTATGATGGATTTGCTAGTTAAAAAGTGAAAATCACATACCACACAGGAGGCTTCATATTGCTTTCCCAGTTTGGGCCTCAAAAAGGCACTGAAAAATTAACAAATTTTCAAAAGTTGAAGCAATTACAAACAAAGCAAAGTATTATATATATTTATATATAATCATTAAATACCCTTTGTATTTTTATAGCTAACAACGTTAAAAGCTTAGGATCATAGGACTCAAATGTTATGTTTAAGAACAGTAATGAACAAGCATTTATTGTCAGCTAGTCATTGTTTTTATAGAGTACTTCTATATTCAAGGGCCCTGTGTTTAGTGTTAATCTAAAGGTAAGAGTGAGATTTGTATCAGAAATGGTTATCTACTTGATGTACTTCAAATTTACTACTAATAGTGTTGAAAACTAAAACTGATTACACCTTCTTAGACTTGGAGTTGAACTGAAAGCCACAATTTTCAGAATCCATTTTTATATCTGGCAGCTATATATTTTAGAGGTTGCTTATTAGAATAGGGTTTGGGCCTTTCCAAGAAAAAAAAAAGGTAATCTTTGGCTGAAAAGCTTTCCTCAAGGGCTTAAACCAGGAAGATGACAATTATGTCTAACTCAAAACAAAAATGGTAACAAGTGGTCATAACGTGCACTCTCTATATGAGAAACTGGACAAACAACAGGTCACTGGTCTAAAATTACAGCAGGAGGCCGAGGAGAAATCAGTACGTATAAGCACGTTTATCTTCCTTGTTCCTCCTCCCCCTCTTCCCTTTCCAGCTATCTTCCTCTATCTCCAAATAATATATGTGTGTATATATGTATGTACATGTATACACACGCATATATAATGTGTATGTCCATATCTATGTATTTGATAGCTTCCTGCCTGTATGCCATCAAACTTCATTAAAACAAAACAGAAAAAGGATTCCAAAGGCTCGCTTTTTTCCTCCCCAGAGAGGTAGCTGCACGCATTGGTGCTGCAGCAACAGCAGCAGAGCATCCGGCCCCATCCAGAGCATCTCCAGTGGCCCAGGGAACCGGAGATAGGGGGGTAGGGGGAGATTGGGGAGGAGGTATTCCTAGGACCGTGCACTGCGGCGTGTTTCTTTGCCCCTCACCTGGTTTGCCTCCATAGAAAGGTCTGGATGGGGAGGGGGATGCCTCGGCCGCTGTCCTGCTCCTGGCCCTCGGAGCTTTTCCTCTTCACCATGATGGTGGCTCCTGTGAGCTCTGTTGAGGCACCCAGCACTGCCTCCTCTGTAGCCGCCGCCGCCTCCTCTTCCTCCTCCTCCCGCTGCTCCCCCCAACTCTCATCCCCTCCTTCCCCGAGGCAGTGCCGACTCTCTCCGCCCAGATCTCCCGTCCCTCTCCCCTTCCCCCGCCCCCCTCTGCCGGTGTAAAATGGCTGCGGGAGGAGGGGAAGATTGGAGGAACAGCGAAAGGAGGCAGGGGGGAGGAAGAAGATGTCCGCCTCGCCCCCTATTCTCCCTTCCTTTGCTTTCAGCACCTCCCACTGTGGACAGCGACCCGCGTAGGGTAGTTCAGCTTGGGGTTAAGGAAAGGCAGCGAGCAGCAACCCGGTAAAGCTGTAGGTAGTTCCCACTCTCAGCATCTCCCTCCTGTCCCGCTGCGTCTTTTCCTTTAGCCTAATTTGGCCTCTTCAGCCCTCAGTAAAACTGTTTCTCTCCTACTAGCTATACCGCAAGAGTGTCCACTGTTTCCTGACCTCCTGACAGCAGTGACTGGAGGACAGTACCGTTTGGGAAGGAGGAGCATTTGGGAGCTGCAAAGCTGTCATAGACACTAACATCACTCACACCTCTAGCAAGAAGATCAGGTGCACCCCTTGAGTCTCCACCTCCACCCCAAAACACACACACACACACACACACACACACACACACACACACACACAGAGACAGACAGACAGACAGACAGAGACAGAGACAGAGACAGAGACAGAGAGACAGAGACAGAGACTCCCTGTCCCTGAAGCTCAGCAGAAATGGTGCATGGAAAGGAAAAAAAAAGTGAAAACTAGGAAGAGCTTCAAGCCTGGCAGGTCAGAGAAAACTGTAAATTACTGTGATGTGAGAATTTAAAATGTCAGCAGGAAACTGACATTGTCCGCAATGTTTCTTCCTGAGAAAGACAAAACCCAAAGAAACCAAGATGAACCAGTTGTCGGTGAAAGTTAATTGGTGTGAAGAAGAGCACACATAATTATCTTGTGCAGCCATTTATTTTACTGTGGTCCTTTGGGTACATTTGAATGATACTTTTTGCTCTTTCCCTGGCCACCCTTTCTTTCTTGGGCATCCAGAGTCGAAATGATGGAATATCGAGTTTTAAGAATTATATGAATTTGGGGAATATTTACAACTGTAAAACAAATGTGGAAAGAAGCAAAAATATGGGTAGAAAGCAGCATCAGAAGGCTCATTGACCTAGAAATAAAACATTAGAAATGGTGGGAGGGGCAAGGTACCATATCATCTTCACTCATATAAGCATTTGCATATAAGCAAAATTATTGGCCCTTCAATGAATGAGGTGACTAGATACCAAGAGAACCAAACATATACTGCTTGTTGTGGAGAGGATTGTCTGTAATACATGGATATTTTCAGTCACATGGATGTTTTCTCCATTTACTGTTCACAGTGATAATTTTTTTAAATAAGTTTTTTTTCACATCATAATAATTTCCCCTATTGTCTCTCTTTCCCTTCCAAGGGAGACATCCCACATAATAAATAATACTTTTTAAAAACAAAAAAGAAAAAGAGAAAAATCAGCAAAATTATTGATACATTGAAAAAGTCTGAAAATATGTGCAATGTATAACACTTATGGACCTCCCTTCTCTACAAAGGGGGAGTGTGGGAGACATCTGCAAGCCACATTTATTCTTTATAATTTCTCAACATTCATTTTTGATTTTCTTTGCAATTACATAGTACCAACTTTTAATAAGAATACAAATCAATGAGAATATACCAAATTGAAAGTAAATTATTAATTTAGATTCTGAAAAAGAGTGAAAGTAGGGCCAGAACAAAACAAATTCCCATTAGTGAAATAATGGACTTTGGAAACCTTGTAAATGAACAAAAAAAAAACAACAGGAAGGATGGAATTAGAAGCCATAGATTCATAGATAAATGGTGCATCTTTTTAGAAATGTAGGATAAGATAGTAATAGGAAATGCATATAAATAGCAATTAGGAGAGTAATCACAAGAGTTGTTGTTCTTCATCCTTCATTCTCAAAGAGGACTAATGACATCACAAAGTTGATCTCTTGCACGTGAACTGGATTTAAGTGAGGCACAGATGCAATGCATGACAGTGGCCTTTCTAAATTAAGGTCTTTCCCAGGCCTCACTTTCTCTGAGGCAACATCCATTCAATGACTAAGGAGTAGGTAAAAACTGAGACAGATAAAGACTGCCATCATTTGACTGTTCAAAACAGAAGGGCTACCCTGGCAATCAGGCCTCTCACATGGACAATAAGAACCAGCTGCTCTGTTTGCATTTATAAAGCACTCAGTGGGTACAGGAACTGTTTAAGGTGCTCTTTCCAAAATGTCAATGAAGGCTTGAATAGAGGAAATGAAGTTGTCCCCATAAAATCTAGAAAAAAAATAAAGAGAAATTGAAACATGAAGTCCAAGCATGTTCAATTTTTTAGTAAGGCTAGCAATTACCAATAAAAGGGATTCAAGCCTTCTTAGTAGCCAAGGCTGCATCAGACAGAGCAACTTTTTTATACAGTTGAAAGGATAGCAGTGCTAAAAAATAGTCCCATGACTAAGACTGTGATTGGTCTGACACTGAGATGGAGAGTGAGCTATGTTTGGCTTGATTCAGAGGGAAGATTTTCACAACTTTTCCATAAATATCTTCTGGAAAATCTTGCGGTAGGCAAACATCCTGTGACCAAGTTGACTCATCTCTCCCCCGTGGTCAGCAAATATGAGTTACAGGGTTAAGGAAATTCAAACTCACATAATGACGGGACTAACCAATATATAACAGATTGATTATTAATACATAGTAAATTGACTAAGCCTTATTAAAACAATACAAAATAAAAGGAGATATCAATTTTAAATTTCTCACAGTGTAGTAAAAAGAACACTAGATTTGGAAACAGAGCATTTCTACTAATTACTAGTGTTGATCTAGACCAAAATGCTTAAGGTTTTGGGCCTTAGTTTCTTCACCTGTAAAATTAGGAGATGTACTAGATGACTTCCTATAAAGTTGTCTGGATGGGAAAAGAGGCTGTCATAAAATGCCAAAATTCTGATTTAGTAAAAATCTTGATGGAGATCTAGAACTATAAATATGTATTCTTTTTTATTTTCTTCTTTACATAAATAAAAGAAAGATTAAATCATCCATTAAGTGCTTGCCATGTGTCCTGCACACACTGTGCTAAGTAGTGGGTATAAAAATATAAATAGAAAGACCAGCCCTGAAATCAAAGAACCTAGAATTTAGAGAATTTAGCACATAAAAAGGACTGAAAAGTGGGGGCAAAGGAGGGGAGAGGTACCCACCGTGGCAATGTGAAATCCTCAAGAACAGAACTGAGAAAAGACTGAACATGCTTGACTTGACCACTTCCTCAAATGAATGTTATGGGAGGGAACTTGCCAACTGGAGGAGTAGGAAGAATATCTTCCAGGGTAAGGAGGTGAAATCTAGAGAAAATCCAAGAGAGGAGTGAACTTATCATCAAAAAACACAAATATTTCAAAATACAAAAAAAGAAAAAAAATTGTATAGTAAAGTTCTGTAACAGTTTTTAAAACTATTGAAAGTGTATATATACACATATACACATATACACATAATGTTTCAACAAGGCAGTAACAAAAATTATTCTATTTGTATCACGTTTTGTATCTTTGGGCACTTATTGTCAATATTTTTGCCCCACTTTTACTACATACTAGTTATGCAATCTTGTGTAATTTTTGCTCTACCAAAAAGAGCTGCTATAAATAGTTTTGTACATATAGGTTCTTTTCCTTTTTTTCTTTGAATGCTTTGAGATATAGACCTAGCAGTGTTATTTCTGGGTCAAGGGTATGCAGTTTTATTTTGTTCATAGTTCTAAGTTTTTCTCCAGCATGGTTAAACTACTTCACAACTCCACCAGTTGTGCATTAGTGTCCCTGTTTCCCCACATCTATTTCCTCCAGCATTTGTCATTTTCCTTTTCTGTCATGTTAGCCAATCTGATAGGTGTAAGGCAGTACCTCATCTTTGTTTTAATTTGCATTTCTTTAATCAGTTGTGATTCACAATTTTCCATTTTATCAATAGTCTTATTGATAGCTTTAATTTTTTTCTTCTGAAAATTGTCTGTTTATATACTTTGATAATTTGTCAGTTGGAGAATGGCTCTTATTTTTATAAATTTGGCTCAATTACCTACATATTTGGGAAATGATGTCTTTAGCAGAGAAACATGTAAAATTCTCCCCCACCCCAGTTTCCTGCTTTTCTTCTAATTTTAGCTGCATTGGTTTTGTTTGTACAAAAGCTTTTTAATTTCATCTAATCTAAATTTTCAACTTCTCTACCCATGATTCTCTCTACCTCTTGTTTGGTCATAATCTCTTCTATTAACTATAGATCTAACAGGTAAATTTTTCCAAAGTCCTCTAATTTGCTTATGACATATGACATATTTATGTCTGTATCATATACCCATTTTGACTTTATCTTGTCATACAGTGTGAGATATTGGTCTATGCCTAGTTTCTGCTAGATTATTTTTTAGCTTTCCCAATGGTTTTTGTCAAATGGTGAGTCCTTGCTCTGAAAGCTTGGATCTTTGGGTTTATCAAACACCAGATTGTGTGGTCATTTACTACTGTGCATTGTGTACCCAATCTCTTCCACTGCTCAGCCTCTCTATTTCTTAACCAATGCCATGTTGTTTTGATGATTAGCACTCTGTAATATAATTTGAAATCTGATACTGCAAGGCCATCTTCCTTCATTTTTTTTATTGATTCCCTTGATATTCTTGACCTTTTGTTCTTCCAGATAAATTTTATTATTTTTTCTAGCTCTATAAAATAATTCTTTGGTAGTTTGGTATGTCACTGAATAAGTAAATTAATTTAGGTAAAATTGTCATTTTATTATATTGGCTTGGTCTATCCATGAGCAATAAATATTTCCTCTGTTTAGATCTAGCTTTATTTGTATGAAAAGTATTTTGTATTGTGTTTATGTAGTTCCTGGGCTTC